GGCAACTGTTGTTTTTGATGGGTATGGGACTGGCCCATCAATAAAGGATAACACACACCAGCGGCGGGGAAAAAAACCAGCTTCCGGACCGTTAACTTTACACATGAAACTGAATTTGAAGGGAAGAAGGAAGAGTTCCTATCCATAGACAAACAACAAACACGGTCTAATCAACTTGATAAGTGAAAACTTAAGGAAGTTGGATGTAAGGTGATTCAGGCACATGGAGATGCAGATGTTGACATCGCAAAGACTGCAGTAGACAGTGCAAAGACCAATTCCACCACATTGATCGGAGAGGACACTGATTTATTGATTCTTCTGCTGCATTACTGTATGGCAGGTGGGAAATCACTCTATTTCAGATCAGGCAATTCTTCAAAAGTCAGTCTGAAAGTGTACAACATCAACTGGATGAAGCAACTTCTTGGCAATAAGCTGTGCACCCAACTGTTATTTCTGCACTCATTTACAGGCTGTGATTCCACGTCTCGGGTTTATGGTATTGGGAAAAAAATCAGTGTTCCAGAAACTTGTCAAAGGTGATCAAGTCCTCCAGCTATGTTCATATACTTTCACTGCAAAAGACGTCGAACAAGCAGAGATAGAGGAAACCGGTCGCCAAACCATGGTGATCCTATTTGGTGGAGAGAGAACATGTTCCCTGGCTGCATTGCGTTACAGTGCATGCGCAAAGAAGGTTGTAGCTGCTAAATCATTTGTTACACCTGAACGCCTTCCCCCAAGGGAATCAGCCACCAAGTTTCACTGTCTGCGTGCCTATTATCAGGTCATGGTTTGGATGGATATGCAAACTAACCTCGATCCATTGCAGTAGGGTTATAAACTTGAAGACAACCACTTTGTTCCCATCATGACATCACTAAATGCTGCTCCAGACATTCTTATCAAGATTATACATTGTAACTGCACAACTAGTTGCAGTTCCGCACGCTGCAGCTGCAGGAAGAATGGACTTCAATGCACGAAGTCCTGCCTGTGGACTGTGCCAAGTGACATGTTGTGACAATCCAGTCAATGAACCCTCAAAAGAAGAAGCGGAGGATAGTGATGAGGACAATAATGACAACGATGAGGACAGAGATGAGGACTAAATAGTGTCCTTAAGTAAAAACCATGTTATGGAACATTATCCTAAAATTGTTTGTTTTGTTAGATGATATTCTTCTTCTTAAAATGTATACCAATGGCAACATTTTCAATTTTACTCCTATGGATAATATTGACTCTTAGATTTCCACAAGTCAAATCCTAATTAGTTTGTCACCAGTTGTTTGGTCATTCTTCAAAACAATAGATAACAACCAGAAACTATGATTTTGACTCAATTATTGACAAAGTTATAGTGATTCTGGTGATTGGCGGCCATCTTTGAAATACCCGCTTTTACCCATAATGCACGGTGGGATTTTGGTAGACTTTCTCTCTGTTATAAAGCATACCTTGTTGGAGAAAACGTCACCAAGAAACCTTTTGTTATAATTTTTTGAGGCTACCTGCCATAATTACCCGACTATTTGTCAGAGCTGTACGACACAGCACGCTGCACGACGTGTTTGCAAGGATTAGAGGGAGCGTAGTGTTGACACTGGCGGATCCAAGGGGATTGGGGGTGGGGTTCTGCCCCCCTCCCTTCCCGTTTCAAAATGACTAAAGACCACATAGAAGTTAATGTAATGTATTCTTCCCCCCCCCCACTCCCTTCCTCTCTCTCTCTCTCTCTCTCTCTCTCTCCAAAAATAACAAAAGTCCAAAATTCCTGGATCCGCCTATGGTTGCAATATACAAGGTGCTTACATGTATCAAATACTACTGATTAACATTTAGGGACCGTTCATAATTTATGGCTTCGGGGGTGATGATGATTTTTATGGTGAAGCATGTACAATGTGTATGACCCCTAATAATATTTATGTACAAAATACGTGACCCCCTGCATGTCATGTACAAATTCAATGACCCCCTCCCTTCCCATTATTTCTAAGCATAATTTTAAACACATTTTTATGTACAAACTTGATGCCCCTTTAGTACGTGTGTACAAAGTTGATGACCCCCTAGCTCCCAGAACAAAATGGGGTGACCCTCCCTTAAAACATCATCCACACCCCCACCCCACCCATAAATTATTAACGGTCCCTTATATATCCAATGAGTTGGTCTCAAAATTCTGGACTGGTTATTGTACTAAGTTGCGCAATAGGTCCGAACCCGGTCAGCAGGAAACGAGACTGTTGTGAATTCAATGTTTTGAGTTGTCGTTTAGTATTCTCTATTTGTTGATGAGTCATGTCAAACGGCGTCTTGGGAGGGTACCATCATTAAGTACAGTTGATTATCGTCACATGATAACGTGGATATTACCCTGTTGAAAATCAAAATTGGATTTCGGAATGAGGTAAACTATCGTGTTTATTTTCGAAGATTCTTCGGCAGACAAACTACAGTGTGTTCATATATATATTGTTCCTAGATGTATTTTCGTAGAAAAATACGTGCGCATTTGTTGTTGTTGTTGTGGTCATAATAAATGTAATTGATACCGTGTTTTCAAACTTTCAAGGATCTATACGCTTCCTATACTGAAGAGGACAAATGTTAATATAATGGTTGGATGCTTGATCTCAATCAATACTTCACATTTCACACATGTGGTCGAACATGGCGGTGCCGAAAAAATAAATAAAAAATGGCACTTTAGTCCTGTTTGTCACTTCAAATTCCGAAACAAAAAATACAAAGAGGCTCAATATCTGGGCCCTGTTAGAGGTCCTCCAAATTACCCGCTTGGTCGCTCCTATCCGACCCCACGGTCACAGTCGACTTCACACGTAAACTGAACGTAGCAGCTTGCTGTACTAAGGGCCTACTTAATCACAGTTACTTGGCAACTGACACCAGGATTAAAGATACAGAGAGATGCTTACAAGGAACTAAAGATCCTGAACACAAACTTTAAGCGCGTTTCTTGTCCTTTCAGCGTTGACAGCTGTTAATCTTCATCGTGGCACGTGCTAACTGTATATAGTGTGGATAGACCCCACCCCCTAGGGACTGAAAGTGATGAATTCCGAGCCATGAGTGAGTGAGTGAGTGTGTGAGTTAGTTAGTTTTACGCCGCTTTTAGCAATATTCCAGCAGTCTCACGGCCGGGAACACCAGAACTGGACTTCACACATTATGATTCTCATAACTGATGTTCTCGTAATTGCTGTAATTGTTGTTTTATTTAATTGTGTAGCTATGTCACATATTTGGACACTGGTTTTATTTCCTTAGTTTCTTCTTTCATCATTCAAAATAGATACTGCCATTACACTGCCGTTTAATACACGTACATCCAAAACACAACCTGCATTTGCATTAGGTTCACGAAACCACTCCAGGTAAATCATTAGCATTTCTTACCAACCGTCTCCTCTATAATCACCACAATACAGAGATCAGAAAGACACATTTATAAATGGATAAGTGCAGACACAACATGTAGCCATTTTAGTTTGAAATACAAGTATACTAAAGTACTGTCAGAAATTCTAGAAAAATGCTTTTTGACTTATATTTAAAATTCAGAGGTATTACAGTTACTTAAATAACAAATATCACTTCAAGAAACATCTACCTAATGTAGACCGAGAGAATAAATTTTGAGACATGCCCTAAAATGTGTTTTTATTGATGAAAATACCAAAAACTTAGAAAAATAAGGGTAGTGGGACGTTATTTGATACAAACATTAATTGCCTGTGTTACGTCATCAGCATCCACGGTATCGACAGGTGAAATTGACACCTGAGCACACGCTCGGGCGAGGGGTCATCTCAATAGATGTTTTCTGCAAAATGTTGAATATGTGTACGTATAGTATACGTATCGGTTATGTAAGGGATCATTTGTGTATGTGTGTTTGTTTTGAAATATACATACGAATTACTGTACATTGGAAAGAGTCCAATCACTTGTGTTATCTTATCGATTGATTGTAGAAATGTGCAACGTTTTAATAAATGTTTTGCATGTCAACAGTATATTTCATTGAAAACATATGGATGTAATTCTGTCAGTTTAATCTAGTTGTGAAAATTGGCCAAACATTTAACGAAGTCACTGGTGTAGCTTCTTTAGAATATGTATATTTTTCTTCTCATAAAGTTTGTAGACCGCCCGTCTAAGCACTCCCTTGTCAAAGTTGTCAAGGATGGTTTTACGTCCCGGTTTTGCATTTGAGACGGTCCCTGTCTTGTCTGATTTGTTTACAATATTGTAAACTTGTTGGTAAGACATGCCAACAGCTCTACAAGTTCTGTAATAAACCCTTTCTAAACTAATGAAAGGTTTACCTCTGTCTTTTTAAGCAGAACAAACCTATAAACCTTTGCAACAATCGACTGCAAATCGTTGGCCATAGTGGACGATGTGCATGCATGACGGGAAACTTATTTATCAGGACTTAACATTTATAATAATATTTCTTCAATAAAGAAACGATAATTAAGTAAAGTAACACAAACATTGAATATTTTTTTGTTAAGGAAAAACGTTAATTCATATTTTTACACCACCTGTATCATTAGCATAAATGTAAAGACTATTTCAGATTTCTGTTGTTGAACTCTGATAAAATATTTAGTTGCTGTTTTGGTACCAAATTCTCTCCTGTAAACTGCCCTTTAAATGCATGGGAATGTTAAATCGATTGAAATAAAAATTAGGTAGACAATAGGCGAGTTGATATATTGACAACATAGTACATTTATCACCTTTATAAAGATATTAAGGCTAAAAAAGCATTTTTCTAGCATTTCCGACAGTACTCTTTTTTAGTACGCCCCGATGAAGACATGGCGTGACATTGGCACGTGCGCACGTTAAGCACGGACAAGCGACACGAGCGTGGCACGTGGGTTTTGTCTAGACGTCGCGTTGAACAGCATCACAGGTGCGCGTCGTAACACGATATTATAGTTTTGACACGAGACATTGTCATAACATGAACAGTAATGATTTGATCTCAACTCACCTGTTCATAAAAGGTACAGTACGACTTTTGGTAGCAAGAAAGTGTCTTTAGTTGCGTGTAGGGACCATATTTTATGGTTAGGGATGGGGGACTAGGGTGACGATTTTAAGGGGAATGTGTCACCCATTTTGTTCTGGGGAGTTAGAGGGTGTACACATGTACTGGTGTGTGTGTGTGTGTGTGTGTATGTGTATGTGTGTTGGGGGGGTTGGGGTTCAGCAATTTTGTACATATTATAAAAGTATTTTAAAATTATGCTTAAAAATTATGGGAAGGGGATGGGGGGGATTTGTGAGCTGTCATTGATTTAGTACGTGGTATGCAGGAGGTGTGGGGTCTCTTACTTTGTACATACTTTTAAGGGGTGGGTGGGGTGTCATTCACATTGTACATGCTTCTCCATAAAATATCATCTTCACCCCCCTCTAGCCATATTTATAAACGGTCCCTTACTCCTCTATTATTGCTAAACGGCGTAAAACCATATTCACTCACTTATTCCTCTGTTAGGATAGAATCTGAAATGTATCACTTCTGAGTCAAAAATAACTTCCTATAAAGTAGTAAGCGTATGAACTGTACACTATGACATACATTGATACAACATTGTATGACAGGTAGCCTCTACACACCAAGTAGGGGACATTGTGTTGGAACTGTGATATTGAGGACGCAATAGTCAGATATATATTACTAGGGGAAAACGTGCATGAATTCAGTTCGTATGTAGCGAAAACAAATGTCATTGTTGGGCGGGGGCCTTTGAGGCCTGCCGAATCTGTATAATTTAAGAATTGTGTAATTTTTTAAAGAAATTGTTATGAAAGTTATCAGGTAATGTTGATAACAGTGAGAGCGGGACTATATTTAGGCAGTTTTCGGCTATATGAGATGACAGAATGCATAGGTAAGGATATAATAGTAGACGTTTCCATAAAGCGTGTTTCTTGACTTTGAACCCAGCTGATTTTCTAGGGATATTTCATTTACAAAAATCAACATCTACTTTACTCATATTGGCCATACTATCACTGTAATTGACCCAGGGCAAAACATGCGAGTGTAAGAAACAAAGACCCCAGTTGTCTAACATTTAAACACATCTGATACAACTCATATCGACATTTCAAAGGCTTAACAATCTCACATTTCCAATTCTCCTTTTTCGTTGCATGTGCCTCTTCGAAAAATAACAGCAAACACCCCCACCCACCCCCACCCAAAAAAACAACAAAAGCAAACCCCCCAAAACTAAACCAAAAAACACCTCGTCAAAATGTCACTGTCGCTGCAAAATATGAAAATAGTTATTTTTCAAAACATGTTCACGTCAAGCCACGTATGTTTTCTTCTTGCATGCATAGTCCGAGATAACTGCGCATGTGATAATTCCAGCTATAACTGGTTTGTGCGGTCGAGACACGAGCTGTACTACTGATTTATCTCCCTTTGCCCCTCGATCGCACGAACACTACCGCACCATAAGTAGGATCTTATGTTTGGAAGAGTTACGTACCTTTGACCGTCTCCGACTCGGAGTTTCTCAGATTGCCGCCTCAGAATGGAGTTTTCGACGGTTATCGACGATCAGGGTGGCCGAGAACTTTGACTTGTTTGTCCTGAAAATCGTCTGCTGTTTACCAGAGCTTATCTTGTACCCAAAAGCAGCACCCAAGTGAGTGGATGTATTTACTGAACATTTGACTCTGATGATGCATTCAGAGAAAATAAATTGAGAGTTTTAGGGGCAGTGTTGTGTTATTAATAACGCGTACATTGTGTAAACTACAGACTGGCATACATGAACCCAGACAGACACTGTCATACTCTCTCTCTCTCCATCTCTCTCTCTCTCTCTCTCTCTCTCTCTCACACACACACACACACACACACACACACACACACACACACGCATACGCTGTGAAGTATTTGACCTTGTTACTTTCCTTGTCATCTTAATACATTTGCCAACACAACATAAATCGTTTCTAAACATAACCAAATGTGTAAAGCTTACATTTTCGCATTTATGATGATTTTGAAATAATGCACAAGCCATCACGAAGCATGTTAAAATATCACCAAAATGTCGCTTTAAATATTATGCAGACTACTCCTTGAGATATAATATAGCGCCTAGTATCCATGTCGTGCTCGCTGGCGCTAGCACAGAGTTCAACATAACTGCGTGCACATATATATGTACACACAACCCTGAAGGTCCAGTGGAATGCTGCGCGGCAGAGGTGAGTTTTAAGGAGAGACTTTGAAAACGTCTTAAAATTTAGTGTTTCTGACTGAAAACTGAAGGCACGGTTAAATATCGAAGAAGTAGACAGAGTCTGATTAAATGGAGCGACGCTGGAGAATACAGGAAGATCAACCGCTTAGGGGCCGTTCATAATTTATGGTTTAGGGGTGTGGGGTGGGGGTGATGATGATTTTAAGTGCGGGGGGATCCATTTGTTTTGGGGAGGCGGGGGTCATCAGTTTTGTACACATGTACTAGGGGGTCAGCAATTTTGTACATAGAAATATTAAAATAATTATGCTTAAACATTATGGAAGGGGTGTGGGTGTGGGCGGGTAGGTTGTCATTGATTTATCATACTCATCACCTTTAGTGTATGATTTTTTGTGATATTTCAAAGGCCTTTGACAGGGTGTGGCAAAAAGGGTTATTGCACAAATAAGAAAATTATGGTGTTCGTGGGCTTTTACTTAGTTGGTTAACAAACTATTTATCTGATAGACGACAAAGTGTTTCCATCAATGGTACATTATCAAAAGAATTAAATGTTACTGCAGGGGTTCCTCAAGGATCTGTCCTTGGTCCTTTTTTGTTCCTTGTGTACATCAATGATTTACTTGAAACTCTAACAAATGTCACAAGACTGTTTGCCGACGACACTTAAATTGGTGTTGCAGGAAAAAATGTAAAAAGCATAGAAGCTACTCTTAACTATGATTTAGCAAAAGTGAATGAATGGGCTGACAAATGGTTAGTTAAGTTTAACCCGAATAAGACATGCTTTTTAAAAATGGAAATTGTCCACAAGTTCCTGACTTGATTTTCAATAATGAACATTTGGAACGTGTACATCAACATAAACACCTCGGTGTTATCTTTTCAGATAATACAAAATGGTCTTATCATGTATCTGCTGTAATAGAAAAGGCCTAAAAAAATGTTTTCTCATTACGGATGCAAAAGTACGTATTACCTAGATATATCTTTTCTGGTATGTATGAAATGTATATTAGACCTATTTTAGAATATGCATCTGAAGACTGGAATAATTGCCCTATCTTTATTTGTGATAAACTTGAAATGTTACAACTTGAAGCAGCAAGAATTGTAACCGGATTGCCTAAATTCGCTTCAAGATATAGTTTATGCAGTGAAACTGGTTGGTTACCATTGAAAGTTAGACGAACACAAAGAAAACTCTGTATATTCTATAAAATTGTTTATATGCAAGCTCCTGATTACCTGATTGATTTACTTCCACCTTTTACTGAAACCATTTCCGGATACAACTTGCGTAACAAATCAGATTTGGCTGTTCCTACATTTCGCACCTCAATTCTCCAAAAGTCATTTATTTATGATTGTGCAACTTTATGGAATGTTCTCTCCTGTATAAAATGTACAAATTCATTATCATCGTGTAAATCAAAGTTATCTGGAAAAATGACGAAGTTCTATTTGGTGAAAGATAGACACGAGGTTAAGACATTTGTGTAGTTCATTACATGCAGATTTGTTTCGTGTTCATTTATCCGAGAGTATAAATCTTCCGATGGAAGATGCTAACCATTTCTTTTTAAAATGTCCAACATTTGTCAGCTGCCGTTTTGATCTGAAGCAAGACTTGGAACTATCATAAGTTCACTTAGACATTAATACCATTCTCTACGGCAACCCTGCTCTGCCAAATACTAGTAATGAAAATATCTTTAGACATGTTGATTTTGTACATAACATGCAGGGCTGGGTCATTTACTTTGAACATACATTTTAGGGGTTGGGGGTGGGGTTGGGGTGGGGGTTGAGGAGGTGTCATTCACATTGTACATGCTTCCCCATGAAAAATCATCACCACACACACACACACACACACACACACACACACACACACACACACACACACACACACACACACACACACACACACACACCATATATATATTATGAACTGTACCTCGGGTATGAAGGATAGTCAAGCTGTTGTTTAATATTGAATAATCACTTCTCTCAAAGTCATCACAAATGAAGACATGGTTGGTGTATGCATTTCAAATGTTACTATAATTATTAACAACAAAAAGAAAATGTTCCCTAAAACATTTTGAAAACTAACTGAAACCTGAAAAAGCACGTAAGCCACAAAAACACATTCTTGCAATTTTCTTTAAAAAAAGGACGAAAACAAAAAAGTAACACCTCCCCCCCCAAAAAAACCCCAACAAAAACAACCCCCCCAAAAAACAAACAAAAAACCCCAACAAAACAAACAAAACAACTACAACAAAACAAAAAGCAACAAACAACCAAATAAGAACAATCAAAAACAAAGACAAAACAAAATAATATACAACTACTGAATTTAGTTTAAGACAATACAGTGCTGCAAATATCATAAATACCTGTTTCTTCACACAAAATATAGTCTCATAGCCCTTGAACCACATTATTTTCCCTAATGCCTAGCCCTCCCTGCCATGCTAAAGCCCTAAATGAATCAAGTCTAGATTTCCCCTGGTTCGGGAATCTCCCAACTCAATGGGGCTCCTTTTCAATATAAAATGGGTCTATTTGTTACTATCAAAATTATATATATTCAGCGACTAAACGTTATTCTACACAAAATACTACAGACCCTGAAACAATGTATCCAATGTAGCCCATGCAAGTCTAGAATGTGTGGCAAGTCTAGAATGTGTGGCAAGTCTAGAATGTGTGGCAAGTCTAGATTACCACAGTTTCAGGCTGAAAATGGGATCTGGTCT